TCTGCAGTTTACATCCCTGCAGAGCCAATGGTGGAAATTCGTTTCGTCGACCCTGGCGGGATAGTTTAGTCAGCCCACCATCTCTCCGGGGACGACGAAATGATAGTTCTTGCATTGACCCCAGAGGGATGGCTGATGGGCTGAGTCAACCGCCAACAATCCGGATTGCGAGCCGGATCGATTTACCACCGAGCCACGGGGTTTCGAACGAACATCCGAGCGATGCTTCTTCACAGCCCTGGGTAAACGATGGATTCCTTTAGAGCAGTGGTTCTTCACGTTCACTGCAGCCCTGCAGCCCCCTTTGGTCCTCAATCGTCACAAAATGTACAATGTTAATAACTACGTAGGGTTTGATGAAACAAAGAAAGTTGCGACTTACGTGCCCGTGCCTAAATTGTGTTTTCGATTATTTACCTTCTGAAAAGAAATCTGGCCCTGTGTTGCACCGCCAGGGGAGTGCGTGCACCCCCAGGATGAGAACCATTGCTCTCGGGAATAGATTTGCATGAAACAAACCGAAACGCGTGCCATCGCTATACAATCGTGGTGGACTGCATACAACGTGACAACAACATTGGTACGCGTATGCTTTCGGCCCTCTTAGTCAATCCTCCTGCTGTATAATTGCCCCTTAGTCTCACCGTGATGCGCGCCCTTGGGGGGTTAAATGACCGTTCTTCACCACACTGGCGAGCCCCGGTTGGCCATGTGGGGAATTGGAATAACATTACAAAACTCGTGGGATGCTGAGGTTAATTTACTGTTTGAAAAAGCGATGGAAATCCAATGAGGCGAGGTCATACGAAACTTTGTAATAAGCGCGCAGATTGTCTCGCTCTATGCGGTGCTAGTGGTAGTGGTGGTAGTAGTAGTGGTAGTGGTGCTAGTAGTAGTGATAGTAGTGGTGCTAGTAGTAGTGGTGCTAGTGTTAGTGGTGGTAGTAGTAGTGGTAGTGGTGCTAGTAGTAGTGATAGTAGTGGTGCTAGTAGTAGTGGTAGTAGTGGTGCTAGTGGTAGTGATAGTAGTGGTGGTAGTGGTGGTAGTAGTAGTGGTGGTAGTAGTGGTAGTGGTGCTAGTAGTAGTGATAGTAGTGGTGCTAGTGGCAGTGGTTCTAGTGGTAGTGGTGGTAGCGGTGCTAGTAGTAGTGGTGCTAGTGGTAGTGGTGGTAGTAGTAGTGGTAGTGGTGCTAGTAGTAGTGATAGTAGTGGTGCTAGTGGTGGTAGTAGTAGTGGTGGTAGTGGTGCTAGTCGTGGTGCTAGTCGTGGTGCTAGTGTTAGTGGTGGTAGTGGTGGTAGTGGTGCTAGTAGTAGTGATAGTAGTGGTGCTAGTGGTGGTAGTAGTAGTGGTAGTAGTGGTGGTAGTGGTGCTAGTAGTAGTGGTAGTGGTGCTAGTGGTAGTGGTGGTAATAGTGGTGGTAGTGGTGGTGGTAGTAGTGGTGGTAGTGGTAGTGGTGGTAATAGTGGTGGTAGTGGTGGTGGTAGTAGTGGTGGTAGTGGTGCTAGTGGTAGTGGTGGTAGTGGTGCTAGTGGTGGTAATAGTAGTGGTAGTGGTGCTAGTGGTAGTGGTAGTAGTGGTGCTAGTGGTAGTGGTGGTAATAGTAGTGGTAGTGGTGCTAGTGGTACTAGTAGTGGTGCTAGTGGTAGTAGTGGTAGTAGTAGTGGTGCTAGTAGTAGTGGTAGTAGTGGTAGTAGTGGTGCTAGTGGGTAGTAGTAGTAGTGGTGCTAGTAGTAGTGGTGGTGGTAGTGGTGGTAGTAGTGGTGCTAGTAGTAGTGGTAGTAGTGATGCTAGTAGTAGTGGTAGTAGTGGTGCTAGTGGTAGTGGTGGTAGTGGTGCTAGTAGTAGTGGTAGTAGTGGTGCTAGTGGTAGTGGTGGTAGTAGTAGTGGTAGTGGTGATAGTAGTAGTGGTAGTGGTGCTCGTAGTAGTGGTAGTAGTGGTGCTAGTGGTAGTGGTGCTATTGGTAGTGGTGGTAGTGGTGTTAGTAGTAGTGGTAGTAGTGGTGCTAGTAGTGGTAGTGGTGGTAGTAGTAGTGCTAGTGGTAGTGGTGCTAGTGGTAGTGGTGCTAGTGGTGGTAGTGGTAAAAGGCGCACAAAGAACAACCACACGAGTAGCGCACACAAAGACAAAGACTCCCCGTATAGCCTTCACAGACTGTTGGGGCATGTGCTGTTAGCAAGGTCCTCATGAAGGCTGGCACGGCGCATGAGGAGCGTGGGTGGCCCGCACCACGCCTGGCCGCCTTTGTCTCCCCAGTGCTGATGTTTACACATCGTACCAGGTGTCACATGAGGCTGAGTCGGATAATTAATCATTGCCGGTGTTGGCCGCGAGCGGGAATCGAACTCGGTTCGCCGGGTTCGTAGCGCAGCGCGATAACTGCTGCACCACTACTCCCCACATAGAGCTACTACCACATGGAAGTACAATAGGGCGCAACTCACAAGCCCGTGTGAACAATAGGGCACAACTCACAAGTAGGTGTGAACAATGGGGCACAACTCACAAGCAGGTGTGAACAATAGGGCACAACTCAAGTAGGTGTGAACAATAGGGCACAACTCACAAGTAGGTGTGAACAATAGGGCAGAACTCACAAGCAGGTGTGAACAATAGGGCACAACTCACAAGCCCGTGTGAACAATAGGGCACAACTCACAAGTAGGTGTGAACAATAGGGCACAACTCACAAGTAGGTGTGAACAATAGGGCACAACTCACAAGCAGGTGTGAACAATAGGGCACACCTCACAAGCAGGTGTGAACAATAGGGCACAACTCACAAGCCCGTGTGAACAATAGGGCACAACTCACAAGTAGGTGTGAACAATAGGGCAGAACTCACAAGCAGGTGTGAACAATAGGGCACAACTCACAAGTAGGTGTGAACAATAGGGCACAACTCACAAGCCCGTGTGAACAATAGGGCACAACTCACAAGTAGGTGTGAACAATAGGACACAACTCACAAGCCCGTGTGAACAATAGGGCACAACTCACAAGTAGGTGTGAACAATAGGGCACAACTCACAAGCAGGTGTGAACAATAGGGCACAACTCACAAGCCCGTGTGAACAATAGGGCACAACTCACAAGCAGGTGTGAACAATAGGACACAACTCACAAGTAGGTGTGAACAATAGGGCACAACTCACAAGCAGGTGTGAACAATAGGGCACAACTCACAAGTAGGTGTGAACAATAGGGCACAACTCACAAGCCCGTGTGAACAATAGGGCACAACTCACAAGTAGGTGTGAACAATAGGACACAACTCACAAGCCCGTGTGAACAATAGGGCACAACTCACAAGTAGGTGTGAACAATAGGGCACAACTCACAAGCAGGTGTGAACAATAGGACACAACTCACAAGTAGGTGTGAACAATAGGGCACAACTCACAAGCAGGTGTGAACAATAGGGCACAACTCACAAGCCCGTGTGAACAATAGGGCACAACTCACAAGCCCGTGTGAACAATAGGGCACAACTCACAAGCAGGTGTGAACAATAGGGCACAACTCACAAGTAGGTGTGAACAACATGGCACAACTCACAAGCCCGTGTGAACAATGGGGCACAACTCACAAGCCCGTGTGAACAATAGGACACAACTCACAAGCAGGTGTGAACAATAGGGCACAACTCACAAGTAGGTGTGAACAATAGGACACAACTCACAAGCCCGTGTGAACAATAGGACACAACTCACAAGCAGGTGTGAACAATAGGGCACAACTCACAAGCAGGTGTGAACAATAGGGCACAACTCACAAGCCCGTGTGAACAATAGGACACAACTCACAAGCCCGTGTGAACAATAGGGCACAACTCACAAGCCCGTGTGAACAATAGGGCACAACTCACAAGCAGGTGTGAACAATAGGGCACAACTCACAAGCCCGTGTGAACAATAGGGCACAACTCACAAGCCCGCGTGAACAATAGGGCACAACTCACAAGCCCGTGTGAACAATAGGGCACAACTCACAAGCAGGTGTGAACAATAGGGCACAACTCACAAGCTCGTGTGAACAATAGGGCACAACTCACAAGCCCGTGTGAACAATAGGACACAACTCACAAGCAGGTGTGAACAATAGGGCACAACTCACAAGCAGGTGTGAACAATGGGGCACAACTCACAAGTAGGTGTGAACAATAGGGCACAACTCACAAGTAGGTGTGAACAATAGGGCACAACTCACAAGTAGGTGTGAACAATAGGGCACAACTCACAAGCCCGTGTGAACAATAGGGCACAACTCACAAGTAGGTGTGAACAATAGGGCACAACTCACAAGCAGGTGTGAACAATAGGGCACAACTCACAAGCAGGTGTGAACAATAGGGCACAACCCACAAGCAGGTGTGAACAATAGGGCACAACTCACAAGCAGGTGTGAACAATAGGGCACAACTCACAAGCAGGTGTGAACAATAGGGCACAACTCACAAGCAGGTGTGAACAATAGGGCACAACTCACAAGCAGGTGTGAACAATAGGGCACAACTCACAAGTAGGTGTGAACAATAGGGCACAACCCACAAGCCCGTGTGAACAATAGGGCACAACTCACAAGCCCGTGTGAACAATAGGGCACAACTCACAAGCAGGTGTGAACAATAGGGCACAACTCACAAGCCCGTGTGAACAATAGGGCACAACTCACAAGCAGGTGTGAACAATAGGGCACAACTCACAAGTAGGTGTGAACAATAGGGCACAACTCACAAGCCCGTGTGAACAATAGGGCCCAACTCACAAGCCCGTGTGAACAATAGGGCACAACTCACAAGCAGGTGTGAACAATAGGGCACAACTCACAAGCAGGTGTGAACAATAGGGCACAACTCACAAGCAGGTGTGAACAATAGGGCACAACTCACAAGCAGGTGTGAACAATAGGGCACAACTCACAAGCAGTTGTGAACAATAGGGCACAACTCACAAGTAGGTGTGAACAATAGGGCACAACTCACAAGTAGGTGTGAACGTAC